TCAAGATCAATTTTCTGCAGATCCACTGATATTTCACTGTATTTATTAAGTGGTCAATTAACAACGGATAAAACAAATCGTCAAAGAAATTGAATTTTTTTTTATCTTTGACACTGCCACCTTCTTTATATCTATTTCTATGGTTTGCATGTTTAAGCATTTTTATGATATTGAAGTTAGGTTTAAGGTAGTGGTATAGTACCATCGAGACCCAATCTGAAACCCAATCCATCCCAGGAAAAAAACCTGGATCTGCTCTTGGACGGTACTAACCTAAATTTGAAATTATATATATTTTTCTTACAAACAAAAAAGTGTTTCTGTGTTTCATTTTCATAGGATTTTCTACACGAGAAACAAATGACAACTTCTGACAAAATGTGAAGTTCTCAATGTTCAAAAATAACACTGCAACAATCATTTCTAAGCAATAATTTTTTGTTAAATAAATGGTCGAGGAACTGAGTTGATAATAAATCGTACCTGTTAATTTATTTGTTGGAAATGAACAAAGGGATTCTTTCTTAGTAATCCACAATTTTATACCTATCCTATTATGTTAACAGTTTTGCTTTATATACTGAAAAGAAAAATAAATGTAGGGTAAACTTTTTAGGTAAATTGGTAAAAGGTGGCGATTTTTAAAGAGATGACAGGACGAACAACCCGCTCAGAACATGACTCTGTTTTGCGTTAACTTCGTCGTCACGGTTGATTGAAAAACATTCAACGCTCTGAAAACGGGTTACAATTTTTATAATTGTAAATTTACAAGAAACTGTATAGCTCCCCGTTGTTGCCTTTTTCACTAGTTAGGCAATTCGAAAACCATGCAGACCCCATGGAACTTCCGTAAACTGTACCAAGATTGCAAGAAATGCATATAGTCTCTAAATATTGAACAACAATGTTTATACCTCATGTGCATCAAATGGTGCAACAAAATATTTTGACAAGCTCGTCGTCATGAAATTGCACGTGTTTATAGGTTTTTAAGTGTTTTCCCTACTTGACGTAATATAGTTTACCGTTGAGTAATTCTGAACTCTGATTTTGGTGCATAGAAACTAAATTTCTCATCTGACCAATTTCGTAGTTTTTCGGTCATGCGGTCAATTTTTTTTAAATATAATGCTACCCTGCGTTTCTTTTTCTTTTCAGTATAATTTAGGACAAAACTAGTCCTTAGCTTGAATTTATAGCAAAAGTACAGGTTTTTCTTATAATAATTCTATATCAGAACATTTCATCATGAGCAACAGGAGTCCACAATATGTACCGGAATCGAAATTGATAACTTGAATTATTTTGGTTAGTAGGAAATTCTACGTTTTGAACGAATTTTAATTATTCATTAAGGATATGTCCATATACACTAAGCAGATATGGAGTAAAAAGATAAGAGTTTTCAATTTTGTTCAGTGGTCTTCACTTCACAATAAAATCCGTAAATACGTCTATAACATTATTTTCACTGATCCCTCTCCCCTACGGGAAGAAAGAAACATTTAAACATCTAAGCCATCCTTTGCATGAATACATGAATCTTTGAACAATTTATATTCAGATTGTATTGAGGTTTTATATATAATTGTCAAATGCAAGAGAATCAGAATAAGTACTACTATTTGAAATTTTCTCACAGAAATCATGATTAAATTTCTCAGTATAATCTTGACATAAAATCTTCAAATATAAGAATCATGTATTATTGTCTTAAATGTTTATTATATCTTACCTACATTCGTCTTTTTATGTCTTTAAAGAATACATGTATTAATATTTTTTTTCTCATTTCCACTCATCTATTATTTGCATCAAAAACACACTCCTTATATAATCTTTTCAAGAAGGCTATTTTTATATCATACATTAAAAATTTAGAACAATCTAAATCTGTTCGATTTCAAATAAATAACATTATTTTAACCGATTATCATTATCACGGGTTATTGGCTTTGTGGAATATTTTCTCTCTGAAAAGTACATCCAGATGCCTTAAACCCAGAATACACAAAAACGCATTGTCCGGAATTTCAGAAATGTGGTCAATATACCCTTAAACAATACAGATTTGAGTTCTCTTTGCGCCCAAAAACATAGAAGCAGGGACAGATTTTTCAAAACAAATTCAACAATTTCAAATAAATTCATTTTCATCAGATTACTAATAGATCCCTGCCCTGACATAAAATACCTGACCCAGGAGCCACAGTTTCACAATATTTGAGAATGTATGTTTTATGGCTATAGCAATGCAATATTTTTTTGTCATTTATGCTCAAAAGCAAAAAAGAAATAATGCATTCTAACAATACGTATTTAAAAATTAATGAAATTTTCAAAGAATCAAGAAGACAATATCACTAAGTGATGGCATCACTAAGATTAAATTTGACCGTTTTATATTAGAAGCAAGGTCAGGTCAAGGTCATTACTTTTTCCCTGGACATTAAGAATAAAAAAAATTACTTACTTCGTGTGACCCCTACTCGTATTTCAAAAGATTGAATGTTTTTTTTTTTTTTTTGGGGGGGGGGGTGCATAAAAAGATACTTCTATATAGGGCCTATAAAAGGATATAACCAAATCGACATAAAGATACATTGAAGATACATAAAGATACAATTTTTAGATATTAGTTTTTTTATAGGCTTTAAATATTTAATTTTTCTCATTTTCACATATTGTAAAGTTGTCACATAAAGATACAAAATGAATCAAAAACAAAAATTTTTGATCGTTTACTAAGAGAGAAATAACACTTTTTTACGGATTTTTCCTCTAATCTGTACTTAGATTTGAAGCATTTAAAAGCCAACATAGTTCTAGTTTGTTTGAAAAATCTTATTTATTTGATATAGTTTGAAACTTTAGTCCCTTATTATTAATTTAACTTACATTTGAAAATTTCTTCAAGTCTTTGATTGGGTAAAGATAACTAATTCATTACTCTATGATAATTTTGAGAGGAAGAAAAGAAGATATTTTCTTACGCCACCATTCCGCCAAAAATATAGTCCCTGTTTGTTTTCAAACGACGTCTACCATTTCTCTTTAAAGTTGTAGAATTGTGATGAGGAAAGAAATATTTGGTCTTTTAAATCTCTTACACCTAAATATATAAGACATATAGCAAATAAACTTTGAATATTTCATCAAGTCAGAAACCAGAGAAGAATCCTACCTTAAATCTGTGATTATTTTGTCACAACTATTATGTATTAAAAATCAATTTGTGAAATATGATTTATTTTTAATAACACTGAACTTATATTCATACTGTTTTTTTTTACTATTAATGACCGAGTTTTAATTTATAACATTAAATGAAAAAGTACAATTTCACAAGGAATACTGTTAAATCACATTTTTTTGGGTTTGAGAAAAACTCTCGGTTCGTGGATATTTGAATTCATGGAAAGAATTGTTGAATAGTTATAAAAGTCCCCTTTACATTTCGTGGTGGACATAAATTTTTGCACGTTATGTCATGATAAGAAATAGCGAAAATTAACACCCATGAAACTTGGATTTTTACAGAACGTCTAAAACTAGAATCGATTAACGAATTGGTATGTACTGGGTCCTGCCTACACTGTCTTTGTTTTTAGGGTTCATTATTTAAAAATGCATTTTAGAGGAACTGAGATTTAATTCTAAAAGTGGTAATTCAATTAATACCCTTGGCCCCTTTTTTTACGGTGGAAATTCTTCAAAAGCATATTTTTGTTTTAAATTTTTTTATATTCTCAACAACCAAAATGAATTTTAATTACTACTACATGTATATTGAATTCCGGAAGTTCAAACAATTCTTATAAACCGAGACACAGAAGGCTTGTTGAATGCTCTTTTGTGATCTTGTTTCCATCAACTTTAGAGATACATATCATATCAAATTCTAAACACTATTTCACCAAAAAACACAAAACATTGGCAAAATGACCATTGAGAAAGAAGGGAGGGCCGTTGGAATGTAGATACATCTTGAATCATGTATCTTGATTATCCTTGCACCACGTATTACTCACTTTTATTTTAGTTTTTAACTGTCCTTGATGTTACATTTTAAAAATGAACAACCAGTATCAAACCCATTTAAACACATTTAATTGTAGACTGTGCGTCATTTTCATTGCCAATTTATTACAATTTGAAAACTTTGGACAAAATTTAACCAAACCGGAAGTGCCCTTGATCTTCGTCTGAGGCCAATTTTCGCGTCACACCACATTAAAGGAGTGTTAAATTGTCCCTAAATAATCTTAGAAACATGAAAACAAACGATTTCAATCGTATGAAAATGATAAGAAATTTCTACGGTGCTCTTGGCAGTCTAATGAATCATCCTTTAAGGGGTGCATTTACGTACTAAACGCCAAAGGATATTTACCAAAAGGCTTCTGTGTGATGATGCACTGTCAAATCCCTAGATATAGATCCCATTGAACACATTTGGGAGTTTTATAAGGAATGTCAAAGCCACCCCGCTTCACACAATTTCAACAGTTTGGAAAGATCTATGCAGTAGATGTGTCAATCTCCTATTCAAGGGTACATGTACATGGTATCCAACAGTAAAGGATGTCTTGCAGTAATTAAAGCGAGTGGTGGTCTTACTCCATAGAAATTTTTTTGCGTGAATTTTTATTTTGAGGGTACATTATTTTCTTGACACTTTGCTTAAAATTCTGACGAAAAACTTGAATGAAACTTACGCAACATGGAACTGAAATATCCATCGTTTACCATGAATTAAAGAAATTATTTATTGTATACATTTGTTCTAAAAAAAAAATTTAGGTAAACACTTAGAAATTTAGTTCAGTGTATTTATATTTAAAACGTAGATTTTATCTGGAACAAACTCTACACCCTTTTGAAAAGAGTAGGTAGCATGTAGAGTAAATTGTATAAGTATTTTCCATCAAAATGAAGAAAAATACGCAATCAGATTACAATTTTTTAATTCAGTTTCAGGTTAAGAAAACACTGCGTCAGTTTGACTTTTTAGAAGTTTTTGGACAGTATGTTGGTAAAAATGGAATGTACGCTGAAATCCGATACTTTCTCAAGTATTTTGTTAGAGCTGGTATATCATACACCTCTCGCCCCTCTTTCTCTTGATCCACGCCTTCGTCTTCCTGGCCACCTGCTTGCCACACGGCCATTCCTCGTTCTTTAAATGTTCCTTTTATCCATTAGAGAACACATGATTAAAATATGTAACAATCTATTATACGTGAATAAAGATTCCAGTCTAGAAAATACAAGTAATTTTAAAGATGTTTTCAAAGACTTCAATTGAAATGGAATTACATTGTTATAGATGTAGCAATATTAATATACTCTAAGTAGAAAAAATAAAGAGTATGACTGATAATGTAAATTCAATTTTTGGTAACGAATCATTTAATCAAATCGCAAGACTTTGCTTTATCTTTAGTTCGTTCTATCATAAACTGTCATGATATAACAATCTTCCTCAATTAAAACTGTATATTTTAAAAAAAATCTTCTATATATCGTGTAATTGGTAACAAGCAAACTAAGTACATTACATTATACTCACCTGGTACTGTATTATCCAGAATGAGTGCGATAAGAAATCCGGCAAAATTAGGGTTCCTTGTAAGCATCTTGAGTAAATTGTCAGCATCTACACTACCTTAAGTCAGATACAAATTCAATATTCACTATACAAGTTCATGATCGAGTATGTAGTTGATAATATATTCATCTTAAAATGCTACTGATTTGTTATCTGTTGTTTTAAATAACAAACGCTTTCATATAGCAATTTTTTTTGTCATGAAGAGTTTATACAGTTTATGTAACGATTATTTTTTTTTTTTTTTTTGATTATTGCATGTTATGATTAGAGTGATTGAAAAATATTTTCTAAAACCTATTAAATATTTGGTGAACGAAATATTATAAGACAGATAACAAAATAATCCTTCCAGTCTCACAGAGGTATTACATTTGGCATAGTAATATATGACTACCTGTATTGATGACGTCATCGCCTTTTATTTTTGACCAGTATGGTATGACAAGGCCCCACAGCATAGAAAGTCCAATAATTGCCAGATTTCTTGTAGAATTCATGTCGATGTATTGAAGATTTCCGAAAACAAGACCAATAAAAAATCCAATCCCCACCACCTGTAATCCGCCCACCACGGTAAATAGTGAAGACACTGGTGACTTTACACCAGAACACCAAGAACCATCAAAGAAGGTAAGTTGAAAATATGCTTTGTTTACATGTTCCTTTCATTATCAGTGACAATGTACAAAGGCATCCCCATATCTTGGAAAGATTTCTGAAATTTTACTAATTGTTGGGCCATTATTTACACACTGATCATAGTCACTCATATGGCAAAGTAAGGGGTTGATCCTTACGCCGCGGGTTCGAGTTCCATTGTGGGACATGGAGACCGGTCCTTCGAATGAGACCGTATACACCGAGACGCCGTGTCCTCGGTAGGTGCTGCCACGTAAAAGATCCCTCCCTGCTCAATGGCCCCGAGTGCTAGGTATTTGACAACATTTGCAGCTCTCCATTGGCAAGTGATGGCGTCTCCATATGAGTGAAACTTTTCCGAGAGGGGCGTTAAACAACATACAATCAATCTAAAGATAGAAAAAATATGTTTTGATATTTCATCGTACGTAGGCTGTGCTCACATTTCATTTTTTTGCTGAAGGCAGTGAAATACGTTTGTTCTCTACAAAATTCAAGAACATTACATTTTCTCAAAGCATATTTTCTAATATCTGGATTATTAAAGAGAAATTTCATTACAGAGAATGAAAGTTATCAGTTAATTGATATAAGGACAGGGCTATTTTATGCATAAAGTGAACTTAGTTCTTTCTTGTTTTTCTTTTTATATATGTCAGGTTTGTTGAGTAAACTTGACAATAGATATACGAGGGTTGTTAGTAAAGTTCGCAGGCACATTGATTTACGGAAAATCTATTGTGTACTGTGAAGTATTACTATGTCTGAATAAATTGCTACGGTTACCTTTTGTTTATTATTATGTAAAAAATCAAGGTCCATGTGCTATATGAAAAAAATACAGCGATTTTTACAACGCTGTCATAGCATTCACGGAGCAACTACTTGACATTAATTGACGTTGATTGACGTGACAACCAGATTTTCTCTGCTTTTATTCTTTTGTAAATTAAAAACCGATTACATTTACCTCAGTTCTAACTCTATTGACTTAAACTTTTTAGATACAATTATGTACGCAGTGATTATATAGATACATTTCAATAATGCAGAGTATGTACTTTCATCTTCCTTTTATTATTATGTATCCGAGTGAGAAACACAATCCCACACATATAAACAAAATCAAATGTAACAATTTTTTCCTTTCTACACAATAATACATGTACTGCTTTTTCTGTTAGTTACATGTATGCATTTTTTTTTATCAGCAATAGCTGCAACTTTTAATACTTACATGTACCTTTAAATGATAAAAAAAATATTGATCCCTATTCTTTCACTGAATCAATTACTAAATGATCGTTTTGCTATATAATTTTAAAATATTCAATTTGAGCATTGTACAAATGTTTGTACGGTGGCAAAGGCATTTATAAATTCTGTTATTTTCACATGAACTTATCAAACAAATTTCTTAATCCGAATTCTTATTATCAAGATCTCAAGTTAAAAAAATGAGCGAATGTCAAACTGCACAAATAGTAACTTAAACATATATATTTGTAAAAATAATGCATGGCTTGTTAATTAAATCTATCTATATCAATCTTGAAATGAATGTGCATTCTTATGGACATGGTATGACATTAATAAGATGGGTTTTTTTTTATATAAGAATTACCTTCAGATTTTAAATAACAAACAGACACTGATATTCCAACACTTCCTTTGAATTCTAAAACATCCTACTAAAATGAAAATTATGAGAGAATTGAGTTTTGTAAAATACCAAACATTTCTGTCGAATGAATCGGAAACACAAAAACTATAATGATTAGTCTTTGGAATGACTTATCAGTTTAGGAATTATAGCAATGTAGATAAGTTACATGGAAGATTAGACTAGAACAGTTTAATAATTCTCAAATGTATTCTTGAAATCTCCAGCTTAAATGCACTTCAACCAAATTATAATACTCTAACACTTATTTTTGTTTTGTTTTTTATTATATACCACCATTAATATGCCACCATACGTGTACTCTTTTCACGTGCATGTGGAGATTTTGCCTCCCAGTTGATTCAATAAACAAGAGCATGCTGTACAATTTAAAAAACGAAGCAAGCTCCTGATACACAAGTCTTAAGGCCACCTTAAAAAACTTGTCCTGATGCCCTATCCCGACCGATTGTCTAAAATGTCCCGACTCAAAACTTTTTTCATGCCAGAACACTATAATTTTTTTCTCTTTATACACCTTATCCCGTCAACAAATATGTTAAACTTGTCTAGAAAAAAGATTTTCCCACCTACCTATCAACTCAATGATTTTACCCTGAGTTAAGAGATAGTACAGAAATTATTTTAAAGATCGTCATAATGACCTTCGATCCTGATATTTAAAGTCTTAAACTTTTTTGGCCAAGTATATCTTTAGTTTCTACATTCATAGCTTAATTAAAATTCAGATCAAAAAATGGGGGTCAATAAGCTTCTTTCGGAGCTACAGTACATTTAATATGACCTTTTTGCACTGAAATTTGTGTCTTAATTAAAAATTAAATTTTTAACGTTTTCCCTCCAATATTTTTATCCAATTAAATCATGAAACAATATAAACTCTAAGTTTGTTTTAAAAAAGACACTTCAAAATTGTGACTAAGAAAAAGTTTCAAATTGCTTCGCATAATCAATTATTTAACCTTTCTGCACTAATAAAAAGTGTTTTTTCTGGCATTGAAAATTTAATAAGCAAGAAAATTATTTTAAAGTCTTAAACTTTTCCCGATTTTAAGCAAATAGGTCAAATTTATCTTGAATATTTAGAAAAGAACATCAAAAATAGGTGTATATGATGTAAAGTTTTAGATATTACTACAAAAGTGTCAATGTACCGTTAAAACTGGGTCAATTTTTTCACGGATTTTCAGAAAATATTAACTATATTAGTCACAGTTTGTTGATAGAATTAATAAGAAATAATTTAATAGATATTTCAGAACGAGCATAACACATTTCACTGCAAAAAACAGCTTTGTGTGCAACCAGGATGGAAAAATATGAATCTAAAATTAACAGTACTGTTATAGTTCAAAATGGAAAAAAACATCATTTTCGTCTAAAAAAAAACCTTCCGCCACAAAATATAGTCCCTAGCTTAATTCTAATTGAATGGAATTTTATAATCGCGGGTTTTTCATTGAATGTAGTTTAATTTGCACTGTAGAACTCATATTCAATGTTACAACTTAAGAATTTTATAAATAAAGGACCTGACCAAAATACGCTCAAAATATCAGGATCGAACGTCCTTAAGGTATGATTCTTCTCTGATTTCTGACTAGATGGAATAATCAAAGTACATTTGTTGATATGTCTTGTATGTTTAGATGTAAGAGATTTGAAAGACCATATTTTTTTTCCCTCTTCACAATTATACAACTTTAAAATGAAATGATAGACTGCGTTTAAAAACTAGCAGGGACGATATTATTGGCGGAATGGTGGCGTATGAAAATATCTTCTTTTCTGCTTCTCAAAATTATTATAGAACATTGAATTTAGTTATTATTTTTACGCAATCAAAGACTAGATGAAATTTTCAAATGTAAGTTAAGTTATTAATAAGGGACTAAAGTTTTAAAATATATCAAATAAATAAGATTTTTCACACATACTAGAACTATGTTAGCTTTTAAATGCTTAAAATCTAAGTACAGATTTGAGCCAAAAATCCGTAAAAAGTGTTATTTCTCTCTAAGTAAACGATCAAAACTTTTAGTTTTTATATCATTTTGTACCTTGATGTGACAACTTTACTATATATGAAAATTAGAAAAAGTAAAATATAGGAAGCGTATAAAAATAACTAATAAATCCTAAAAATTTAAGAAAAGTAGAGGAAATTCGGATTAGGAAATATCGATTTTATTTAAATTATCCTTGTCAATTTTCTAATACTATCTTATAGGCCCTATATGGTAGTATCTTTTTATGCAAAAAGAAAAACATTCAATCTTTTGAATAACAAGTAGGGATTGCATGATTGAAAACAGTATTTTTTTTTTATTCTTAATGTCCAAGAAAAAGGTAATGACCTTCACCTGACCTTGCCTCTAAAATTAAGCGGCCAAATCTAATCTCACTGAGACCATCACTTAGTGATGTAGTCCTCTTCATTCCGTGAAAATTTCATTAATTTTTAAAAATACAGGAAATGTGAGAAGAATCCTACCTTAAGTCAAATGCTGACTGACTGACGTTTTCTATACTAATTGATATGCCATTTCTTACATCCTTGTCTACAGATTTCTCGATATTTCATTATCATGACAGGGCCCCCTGGCCATTCAAGCATAAGCACAGACTTTTTTCGTTATCTTTTATTTTCAATAGATTTAAGATACCAATGGACACAATATATATTTTAAAATTAATTTTAAACCATCAACAAATATAAAAATAAGAAATTGTTATAACACCATAACGTTTTAAAAGTTCAAAGTTTTGATTGATTGATTAATAGTATACTGTATAACGTCCCTCTCCAGAATATTTCACTGATATGGAGACGTCACCATTGCCGATGAAGGGCTGCAAATTTAGGCCTATGCTCGGCACTTACGGCCTTTGAGCAGGGAGGGATCATAAAAATACGTGCTTGTATGGCCGTAGGAACCAGGTGGGGGGGGGGGATCAAGGAATTTTTGGTATACCTAGTTGATAGTGCCCCCAGCTGAAAATATATGCTGTAAAACCAGAAAAATTGGCGCATACGTTTTTTAGCGCAAACTCAAGTGGGTAAGCATTGGAAATGAATAAATGTGATATTGTTTTTGTATCCACGTCCGTATTTGACTTTTTGGTTAGTGAAGCATGGAAAATGCACAATAGCACTCCCGTTTATAAGTAAATTACCGTGGTGTTGAAATCGCATGGGCGTGGCACAATGTTAAATTTTATTTTAATTTTATTTTGAATAAAAG